CCACAGAGACGAACAGTTTAGTGCGTCGCCTCGCGACATTTTTTACTAAGGTCACTACTACACAGAGAATTTTAGGAAACAGTCCCTGCAGAGACGAACAATTTTGTATGTCACTTCTAAAAATTGCAAGAAGGAGTAAGGCACTGTTAATCCAATGTTCAAGAAAGCACTAGGTGGTTTCTAGGCAACGACCCATGGCCTAAAGCCTAAGCGAGCCTAGGCTAACCTAGGCGTTTCAAGGCATTTTTCTTGGCGTTTTGCTAAATTTGCATTCAGCATGTATAGCTGAATAAATATATAAATGTAGTAGCTAAAATGTTGAATAAATAGAAGTTCCTACAGCAATAGAAGTGGTATCTTGTGAAAGAATAGAAGTTCTAGGGACTACAATATAAGAAATCAGTAAAGGAAATCTTAGCATGAAAATTTGCAGGAATTTTTACAAAGTGGAGGGGCAAGTCGCAAAATCGCTATGTCCTATCCACATCTCATCGGCAGCCCAAGCAGTGCGTCTTCTTTCCCGTGACCTTCTTCTCCCTTCTTTCCCGTGACCCCTCTCTCTCTCTCTCTCTCTCTCTCTCTCTCTCTCTCTCTCTCGGTGGCGCGCTCCCCACGCCATCACGATCCAAGGTCTGCCTTTCCTTTCTGCTCCCTTCCTCTCTCCTTCAAACGGATGCGCATCTTACTGGATTAGGAAGAGGGAGGACCGGAGGAGGTGGCACGGCGCCTATTCTTCACTTATCCCCCTAGGCGAGGCGTTACCCCTTCGTCCAGCGCTGAAGCGTGCCTGGGCGTGCGCCTAGTACCGCCTTTTTGAAGATTGTGTTAATCATTTACAGAGGCGGGTGTTCTAAGACGGTCACCTTAGGACGTCCCCTTTATAAATCAATTAATAGAGGTGCTTAAAAAGGATCCGCTCATAGAAATTGATTATCAGAGAGGCAGACAACTTAATAGACCCACTTTTAAAAATAGTTGCATCAAAGAATAATTTATAACTTTTTTCATATCAACTCGGATAAAGACAAACTTTGAATCAAAATTATTGCTCTCGACGCGATCTACAACTTCGTAATTGAGAAGTTTTTTATTTAAAACAATTTAGTGTCCAAAATTTTGTTTTCATTTCTTGAATTTTGAAATTTAGAATTTAAAATTTCAAACAACCTTAGATGATGACGTGGTACTCCCCCCGTCCCAAAAAGAAGGACGTTTTGGCATTCAAAAAGTGTCTTAGAAAGGTCATTTTAGACCATGGGTCCCACCTGAAGAGGGATGCAGGCCTACAGCTTCTCCCATCCGTCCCAAAGCCCACCCGCTGACCCCACACCGCCGCACCCATCCCACCAGCGCCGCTGCACCCATCATCCTCTTCTCAAACGGGAGGCGTCCCACCCTCTTCTCTTCTGCACGTGGCGGCGAGACGAAGACCGCCAGCATTAAGGTGGAGCAAGCCAGCGTTGGCGTGGACCAGAGCAGCAGTGAGGCAGAGCGGTCGTCCCCCTAGCAGTTGATCTAGGGCGGAGGTGGAGCGGCCCGACGCCGAGGCGAATCCACGACGCATCCCAAACGGACCCTACCCCCTTCCTTCTCTCCGCGGCCCGCTTGCCGCCCTCTAGACCTCCCCGACTGCACTAGTCCATAGCCCCCTTCCTTACATCCTCTACAGTGGCACGCTTGGCGTTGAGGTGCATCTGGTCAGCGCCGAGGCAAAGCACCCTCCTCCTCGGCGACCCCCTTCTTCTTCTCCGTTGGTGCCCGCCCTCCTCTACTCCTCCGGCGGAGCTACGCTCGTTCCCACCCCTCCGCGGCCGGGGTCTAGATCTGGAGTCGTTGGATGCGGTCAGGATGGGACATCAACTGGCGAGTGGGTGGGTGGTGCCTCCCTGGTGGCGCATGACGTGGAGAGAACAGGTGACGCGGGCCATGGACTCCCTGGCTACGTCCGGGGCAGTGGCTAGGTGAGCGCGGGCTCAGCATGATGGGCGCACCGATGGCGATGTGAACGAGAAGAAGAGAAAGGGGAGAGAATATAGGGCTACTGGGCTACTCTAGTCTTTTGCCTCTCTCGTTGGCTTCAGTGTCCGTTCCTATAACGTCAATAATTCTCGGACAGAGGAAGTATACACTAAAGTTATAGTTCACAAAACAATCTACAACTTTATAGTTCAAAAGTTTTCTATTTGATTTTTTTTAGTGTTAGAAAAATGGTTCCCAGCGGGTTGAGTAAGACGGGGAGCCTTCGCTCTGGCCAAGGCAAAGCTCAAAGATGAACACAAAGGTGGTGACCACAGCTCAATTAGGGTTTCGTCAATCCATGGGTCTCTCTCTACATGGGGTTTGCCTCCAATTTTTGATTTTTTATTTTTAATCCTTTTTTATTCAATATTTTAATAATAATCGCTTCTAAAATTTTTTTGCGGATTTGACCCTTTTGGTTGCGCCAGCGGCGCTGTCACAACCAAATAACGTTGTCACGCCACATGCATTGGTGCGACAACATCCACCACGTTAGACGGCATTTCTGACGTGGAAAACGGTGTCACACCACTTCCGTTGGCGTGACAGTATTGTTCTGTCGCGCCACCGGGAATGGCGTGACAAGACAAAACCTTTGAAAAATCATAACTCTTTGATACGACGTCGGATGAAGATGAAATTTATATAAAAATTGTAGCCCTCCATGAGATCTACAACTTTGAGGAGGTTAAGATGCTCAAAAAATTAATATAAAATTTTAGGAGCATAATAACCGCGTACAAGTGCTTGTCACATTAGAAAAATAATATTGTTTTTGTATAGTGTCAAATGAAGATACTCTTTACACGAAAGTTGTAGCTCTCAATGAGATCTATAACTTTGTAGTTTTGAGTTTTTACATTTGAGATTGTTAAAATGCATGAGAAAATAATATAAAATTTTAGCAGCATAATAACCACGTACTAGCGCTTGTCGCGTTAAAAAAATAATATCGTTTTCGCACGATGTCAAATGAAGATACATTTTATATAAAAGTTGTAGCCCTTAGTGAGATCTATAAGTTTATAGTTTTAAGTTATCATATTTGAGGTCGTTAGCGTACTCTAAAAATTAATATAAAGTTTTAGCAGCATATTAACAACTCAAATATTATATTATTTTTTGAGCATTTTAATGACTTCAAATGTGAAAACTCAAAACTATAAAGTTGTAGATCTCACTAAGGGCTACAACTTTGATATAAAATGTATCTTCATTTGATGCCATACAAAAATAATATTATTTTTTAATGCAACAAGCGCTAGTACGTGATTATTATGCTGCTAAAATTTTATATTTTTTTGTGCATTTTAACGATGTCAAATATAAAAACTTAAAACTACAAAGTTGTATATCTCATTAAGAGCTACAACTTTTGTGTCAAGAGTATCTTCATTTGACACCATACAAAAATGATATTATTTTTCTAATACGACAAGCACTTGTACACGGTTATTATGCTTCTAAAATTTTATATTAATTTTTTGAGCATCTTAATGTCCTCAAATGAAAAAAAAACTCAAAACTACAAAGTTGTAGATCTCATCGAATGTACAATTTTCATATAAATTTCATCCTCATCCGACGTCGTATCAAAGAGTTATGATTTTTTAAAAATTTTATCTTGTCATGCCACTCCCAGTGGCGCGACAGAACAATACTGTCACGCCAGCGGGAGTGGCGTGACAACGTTTTCCATGTTGAAAACGCCGTCTAACGTGGCGGATGTTGCCACGCCAATGCATCTGGCGCGACAAAGTAATTTAGTTGCGGCAGCGCCGCTGGCGCGACCAAAAGGGTCAAATCCGTAAAAAAATTAGGAGCGATTATTATTAAAATATTAAATAAAAAAGGAATAAAAAATAAAAATTCTCCAATTTTATAGTTCACTATACATAAGGAAGTTATTTTATAACTTTACCCTATAATGGTACGGGCATATATTGGGAATATGCTCGTACTAGGCCCAGCCTGCAGGGGCATCTTGGGTCTTCTCCCTTTGCACGGCCTCGTCTTATGGGCCTTAGCACCGCGCCTAGTGGAGGCCCATTTGTACTTCAGCACGTGCCCTCCGGCGAGGCAACTCACGTGATGGGCGGAAGCCTAGCCTTCGCTCTCTCCTCCTATCTTCTGAGTCGTATCGCCGTATTCTGTAGGACGACCTTCGCCCTGCCCCCCTACGCTCGGTCCTGGACTTCAGCCATGGGTCTTCGCCGGCCGGTTTCTGCCGGCCGTGAGCCTTCGCTCCACCATGTCTCCGCGGTCAAAGGCTTCTGTAGAATCCCTGCCCAAAATGAGAACAATCGTAATAGTTTGCAGTTTCATCCGCACACACAACAATGGAACTATGAAAAGGGGAGCTTTTGTCTTCGCAACCAAGGTATCTGTGTCCCAACATTTAGATTCTTAAACATGTGTTTTGTTTTCTTAGATTTTGAAATTCAAAATTAAGAATTTCGAAATGACCTTGAATGTTCACGTGGTTAATACTAAAGTTGCGGTGTCTAACCTTGTCTACAAGTTTGTTGCTGATAAGTTTTCGATTTGATGTTACTTAGAGTCCGAAATAGTTGTTTTTAAATTCATATATTTTTGGATTCAGATTTTTTTAATTTATTTTCAAACAATCTCGACGAAGGATTTGACCTAGACACTCAATTTGAATCTAACGGATAAAAAAATCGTGTGGTGATGATGCGCCTCAAACACCCGATTGTCCACTAGCTAGACAACTTCAAATTAAATTCAAGGGCCGTTTATTACCGTTATCTTTATCCTCAAACCACTTGACAATTGACTAACACCAGTGCACCACAACTTGGCGTTAAAATGACAGGTGCACCTGCCTTGCGCGCAAATTATTCTGACACCACAACCACGACCAATTCAACCTCATCTGACACGTCAAGTCCACAACCACGACCAATTCAAGCTTCATCTAACCCTGCAGCCCAAGAGTTGAAACGAATGGGCGGAATGGCTTAGCCGCTCCCGCCGAAGAGTGCCTTGAGCTTCCTGACCTCCAATTCGTCCAGGACGGTGACCTTGCTCACGACGTCCGATGGCAGGTTGTTGGCGAAGAGCGCGAAGTCCAGGATCATCAGCCCGGGGTTGGCGCTGCTGTAGGAAGAGAGAGCCACCGCCGTGTCGTCGCCCAGGTTGTACTGGAAGTGCAGCAGGCCCTGCGGGAACACCATGAGGTCGCCCTTGTACAGCGTCTTGACGTACACCTGGTTGGTCAGGGAGCTGATGAAGCCGGCGGAGATGGCGCCCTCGATGACGAAGAGGAGCTCGGTGCCGCCCGGGTGCGAGTGCAGAGGCACGATGCCGCCCGGGGCGAAGTCCACTCGTGCCGCGGAGATGCCCAGCCCGTTCACGCCGGGGAACCGGGTGACGAAGGCCGACGACAGGCCGATGTTGAAGGGGTTGATGGTCGGGCCGGTCGTGTTGAGGCCGCGGTAGTAGAAGTCGTCGGCTGTGACGCCGGTCTGGGGCTTGCACGGATACCCGGCCGGGGTATCGCCGCGGGCCAGGTCGGCGATGCAGAAGTCCTGGTTCAGGGCGAGGGAGGAGGACGGAAGCAGGGAAATCATCAAGGGCGCGACAAGGACTAGGAGCAGGAGCACGGCCTTGGCCATGGTTACCGGCTTACCCGGGCGAACTTGCTAAACGAGCCTACAGGTTGGAGCTAGGTCAAGACGTGCGTATTTGAATTCATGATTTTTAGCTTGTCTGCTATATAGGTACACTACTGGAAACTCATTTTCTTCCGTGTGTGATTATTTTTTCTGTGCGTTTTTGGCGATACGTACAGAAAAATTAAAATTATTCTGTGCGTTTCAAATAATCCCGTCAGACAAATACAATAACACACAGAAAAATGATATGTTTTTTCTGTGCGTGGAAATATACACACGGAAAAACTTCACACTCACAGAAAAATTTCAATTATTCTGTCGGTGGTCTCGATACGCACAGAAAAATTATGTTCACGCACAGTAAAATTGATATTATTCTGTCGGTTTTTTTGAAAACACACAGAAAAAACATACACACGCACAGAAAAATTGAAACGACCACTAGGATTTGGGGTTCGCGCTCTCATTTTGGCGTTCGCGCTCTTCGTTTCGGTGTTGGCGCGTTGTCACGAAATGAAAATACATTAATGAATAAAAAAAAAGCAAAAGACTCCTAACCCTAACCTGCTGCCCGCCGCCCCAACACGCACACGCCGCCGCCCTAACTCCGCCACACGCCCGCCCGCATAAACGGCGCCCGCTTCGCAGCTAAATCACGCACGCGCGCCCGCCCGCCCGCCGCCACCATAGCGCCAAGACGCCGCCTCCCCGCTGCCGCTGCTCAGACGCCACGCCTTGCAGACACGCCGCCCGCCGCCGCGCTTGCGCACACACCAACCGCCGCCCGCTCAGACGCCGCCGCGCAGGACCTCCGCAACCATGTTGCCCGGCCGATTCAGCGTCTCCAAGTTCTCGCCTCTAGATCCGCGCCTCTCAAGCTCCCCGCCGTGCCATCGCCATCGATTGAGCGCCTCCTCTACCTAGCTTCGCGGCGGCGCGCGCCCACTCCCGTGCTCTGGCCTAGGTCCGTTGGGGTCCCATGCTACAACCTTCAAGTGAGCTCGACTCCGGTCACCCGCCGATCCACGCTGTCTGGTAAGTGAGAGACTCGTCTCGTCGCGTAAGAGGATTTAGATGCGAGGCTCCGTGGCGGTAGGGTTCTGAGAGCTTAGATTTGTGTGGAAATTTTTGATTTGAGCTTTATGATCTGTTGGATGTCAAGATCAAGACTGAAGTGTTCTAGGTGAAAATGTTTAGCTAACAAATGAAATCTTTGAGCTGTGTCTGCTGTGGATGTATTGATATGTCCAAATGATTTGGAGCTCGCTAGAAATTTTAGGTGGATGTTTTCTTATGTCCAGTAGCAGTTTGTAGTGACATAATATATAATTCATTAATTCAACATATGCAAGAGATATAAAGAACTAATACGCCAATTTGAGAACAAATGAGCTAGTGTATGATATATGTGAGATAAATACAATTAAAAAAGCAGTGCATAAGCATAACAACTAAGATATATATGATACATATATTGCTCAGTTGTGCACTTGCGCCCTAACCCCACGGCCACGTTGTACGACCTTTTTTTTTAGGAAACGCCGTACAACAAATGAGATTGAATCATAATGCAGTTGTATTTGAGTGTCTACTTGTATGATTTTTGGAATATGATGTCCTGTTATTCTACGGTTTATTTGAGTGTCTACTTGTATGATTTTCGGAATATTTGTCCTTTCATCCGAATAATGCAGTTGTCATTGTTGTGACATCTATTTATTTGCGTGTCCTTGCTGCAGTGAAGATTTTGTGCTAAGCGGAGTCTTTGCATTGAAGATTTTGGGCTAAGGAAGGAGTCTTTGCAGTTGAAGTCTTTGGGCGGCAAGGACTGAAGCTTCCTATTGGATTTTTTGTGTACTACTTTCAAGACTAAAGAATTGTTGAGGAGACCTCTGATTGAGACTCAAGGTACACTTATTTCTTCTTTGCATAAAATTGTTGTATGTTGTTATGCTAAATTCTACTTGTGTGCCCACTTGTGCGAGTTTAGAATGTCCGTTCTTGCTCTAAAAATAATTGAGCTTCCTTTGTTGTGGTATCTAATATATTAATATTTGAAGCAGAATTAGTTAATATGTCAAACCGAACATGGATGTATAATGGTTGGCAACGTGGCAAAGCTCCCTCAAATGAATGGGTTGATGGAACCAATGGATTCTTGAATATTGCATTTTCAATTCTGGTGTAGCTGAAAATGATACTATTAAGTGTCCTTGTGCACAATGTCGGAACTACTTTAGGCATATAAGATTAAGCTGTAGAGATGCATTTGTGTTGGTATGGTTTTAAGGAAGACTATGAAACTTGGATTTGAGCATGGTGAGGGGCTTATTTCACATGATGGATATGATGGTGTGGGCAATAGAGAGGGCATCGATGAAGTTGATCGGATGGATCAAATGTTGGTTGACCTTCTTTGGGCACCATCCACCTATACTAGATCTTTGAACCAACAGCCTATGCCAAAGCTTTTTATAGAATGGTTGCTAGTGCAGATGAGTTAGTGCATGATAGAACCACACACTCACGCTTGTCACCATAGCTCGCTTGATTGCCGTGAAGTCTCGGTACAACATGTCCGTCATGCAGAATATGATGATATACTAGGCATAGTACATGAACTCCTTCCTCCCCGACTCCAAGTTACCTAATGACTTCTACCAATCTAGGAAATTATTATAGGGTCTTGGTATGCAATATATCAAAATTGATGTTTGCTATAACAATTGCATGCTATTCTACAAAGATAACAAGGAAAAAGAAAATGTGATTTTTGTGCTGAAAATCGGTATAAGGAAGGGCGAACAAAGGTTGCATAAAGTTTTGCGCTATCTTCCAATCACAGATAGGCTGCAAAGGCTATATCTACATGGGGACACAGCCAAGTTAATGAGATCATATAGTCCCACAACAAGTGGTAAGATGGTGCACCCTTGTGACGGAGAGGCTTGGCAACAATTTAATGTGGACTATCCAGAATTTGCAAAGGAAAAAAGAAATGTGCGCCTTGCAGTAGCAACAGATGGTTTCCAACCATTTGATGTGAATGCTGCGCCTTACTCATGTTGGCTAGTCTTTGTGACCCCACTGAACCTCCCTCCTGGCACACTGTTAAGGTCTGAGTATATTTTTCTCGCCCTTGTTATTCCTGGTCCGGAGCATCCTGGTAGAAAATTGAACATTTTAATGCAGCCCTTAGTTGATGAATTTCAAGAACTATGGAATGGGGTCTGGCGTGGGATGCTTCGTTGAAGGAGGAGTTTACAATGAGAGGAATCTACTTTTTGGTCAGTACATGACTTTATGGCTTATGGGGACTTTGCGGTGGAGCACCCATGGTAGGTTGTCATGCCCATATGGGTGTGGTTGTCGAGATTCCTACTCCCTAATGGTCGTAAGGCTTTGCTGGTTTGATACCCATAGGCGCTTTCTTGCCCGAAGATCATCCATTTAGATATGACGCTAATGCTTTTACTTAAGAACACCATGGTGTTTGATGAGGCTCCTAGGTACTTATGAGGGGAGGAAGTGCAAGCCCATGTGAACCAGGTTTGTTTGGTGATACACTAACCTATGGTAAATCGCACAATTGGACACATGCACTTTGTTTTAGGCAGCTTCCATATTTCCACAAGTTGCTACTTCCACACAATATTGATGTGATGCATAATGAAAAGAATATGGGTGAAGCCATATGGAACACATGTTTTGACATATTTGAAAAGAGCAAAGAGATAATGTGAAAGCTAGGCTAGATTTGGCTATTATATGTAATCGTCCTTCCATGCATTTGGTGCAAAAGAGCAATGGGCGGTGGAATAGGCCTAGAGGTCCATTTAGCGTTCACAAAGATGTTAAGCCAACCATCCCTGCAATGGTTCAAAGATTTGAAGTTCCACGACTCATATGCATCCAATCTCAAGCGTGGTGTGAATCTGCAGCAAAAGAAAGTTTTGGACTAAAAAGTCATGATTATCACATCTTTATGGAAAGGTTGCTCGCTGTAGTGTTTTCGTGGGTTTTGCCGGATAATGTGTGGCGTTGTTTGGCTGAGCTTAGTTTCTTCTATCGGCAATTGTGTGCCAAAGAGCTTAGAAAAGATGTTGTCCGCTCTATGGAAGAGAATGTTGCAATTGCTTCTTTGCAAAATGGAGAAGATATTTCCTCCTGGTTTCTTTAATGTTATGCAACATCTCATCGTACATCCGCCTTATGAAGCACGATTAGGTGGTCTGTGTCCTAGCACGTTGGTGCTATCCATATGAGAGGTAAATCTAGAAATATTGAAATAACTAGTTTATTTATGTCACTAACCGTAAGTTGCTATCTGTAATACGTTGCTCTCTCATCGTAGGTGTATCCAAAAACTTAGGAAAAAAGTAAGAAATAAGGCTCGTGTTGAAATTTGGCATTGTTGAGGCATTTCTTGTTGAAGAGGTGCAAATACACTAAGTCTATATTTTAGACCACATGCTCCATCTGTGAGAAATAAGGTGCCTCGCTATGATGATTGTGCATCTTCATTTCAAAGTACATGTGACCTTGATATTTTTAAATGCCCGGGTCGTTGCATGAGCCCTAGAGGTATTCGTGAGCTCTCAAACAAGGAGTACAAGGTTGCTTTTCTATACATATTGACAAACATGCCGGAGATGGATTCTTTTCTTCTGTATGTTACGCAAGAAACATCATTCTTGTTCTGTTCTAATTTTTTTATTATCTAGGCATAACAAGAATTTTGTTCATGTAGACACTTTGATAATGAAGCAGTGGAAGAGTCATATAGCTCCCACAGAACAAACAACGTCGTGATTTAAGGTTAAATGGTTGGAAAAATAGCCGTGGTATACAATCTGGTCCAAATTTTTTGATTGGTTCAAAGAGCAAGTAATTTTCTCATTCACTTCAACCTTGGTTCTGTTCCAACAGTTTGAATTATGATAAAAATTTATCGCATAATTTGTGTTTTTCGATTGCTTGAAATCAGCTAGCATGCACAA